CTGCTGCTGCAACCACGCTGAGCGCCGGCACTTCACGTCTCTCAAATGCAGTGAAAAAGCCTGGAGAGGGAAATCCAGTACTGGGAATGCTGTTGTCTTATCTGGTGTTAAAGTCAGTTGGAAGGAGCCTGTGCTAAGACTCCATCTTCTCCGTTCACTAGATGGACTGAAACAAACCATGTAAAGCCACCGAGAATTCAGGTGACCAGGACTCTGAAAAACACATTCCTGAACATGCAAGGAAATAAAATTTAATGCCCTATTAGCCTGTATAGCAGGCAAAGCAGTAGAGCCTCCTTCAACCTACACCCAGATCTTCTGGTCTGAAACATGCTTGTGATGTGGGTGGTTGGTTGATTTAGGGGTTTTGTTTTTTTCTTTTCTTTTTTTTTTTTTTGGCTCCAACCCAAGTTCACACTCTGTTTTGACCTGAAGCGCCTACCATTTTTTCTTTCCATTCAAAGACTAGCAAGAAACATCAGTCATTCAAGGAAATAATAGCCATTTTAGATGAGCAGCATTTGGAGTTTAATCTTTAGACAGACATATTTTTTGTCAGGCAGAATAAATATTTTGGCAGTCACCACACAGCTGGCAAAACTAAAGAAAAAAAAATAAAAAAGAAGGTGCTCGCAGAGTTCAAAAGTCCAAGTTACAAATTGTTAAGCTCATTCAAACACTTAAGCAATCGCGGGAGTGACAGCACTACAGAGCATACTCATTTTGCAACATGTAGGAACAAACTCAAGTGCTTTCCCAGAGGCAAACGAGTACTTCTTCAGCTCAGGAAAGTTCACTCTCCGGCTCTCCCAAACGCAGAACCATATACTCATTTAAAGTGAACATACAGAAAAGGAAGGCTGTTCTTGATCCTGATGTGTTGCTACTAGAGCCAAAGAGCAGCTTCTCCCCCTCTAGAAGAAGGGGCAATGCAGGAATTGAAGGCAAAACTGCCTGAACTCTGCTGTGCAGAGGCCAAATCATTCACTCAGTTGATGGAGCAGTTTTAGCTCCTGCTAAAACTGGGTTGTAGCTGCTTCTCTAGAGACTTGAGGGAAGCAGCCCATGATGGAGGCTACCCCTCTGCTGCCAACTGTGCTTTGCTGCCCCCAAGGCAGGGCTAAACATCCTCTGCTTTCAGAGGAACCAAGGGGAATTAGTCTCCGGAAAGCAAGATGTGCAGCCCTAGTGAGGAGGGTAATTAGCAGCAGATAAGAGTAGCATGGAAAGGAAAAAAGTGGTAAAAAATGGCTGTTTGGCACAACAGCTTATCAAGTGGAAACTAGCATGGTTGGGCATTTCATGGATGCTGCTCCTCGCTGCCTCGGGGACACGCACCTACAGCACGAGGATTTACAGCCTTTTAAAGGCGAGGGGGAACACAGTGAAGGTTTTAAAGTAAGTTTGTTAATCAGGGAGATATTTAATACTACGGCAACAGCAGATAAAATATAAAGAACTCTGAAGTTATGAAGTAAACAATTCCAACTTAAAAAAAAAAAAGAGCTTATAGTCAAACTAGGCCAGTTATCTCAATCCTGCAGAAGTCCTTCCTAATTTTTTGCTCATTTAGCTTTCCACAAACAGCCCTTTCACCGAGTTTCAGCCAAACTGCACAGCTGCTTAAATTGAGAAGTTCCTGATTTTTTCCCCCCCCACTTTCACAACAGATAGCAGCCACTAAAACCTCCCGTGGGGCCGTTCCTAAAAAGAAAAATGAGGAAGTTACCGGAGGTCTTCAGCACGGGCGAGCCAGGCGGAGAAATGTTGATGCCGGGCGACAGGTAAAGGTAGTTCCTGTTCACTCCAGAATTGAAGTCAAACGGCGACTCGTAGTCCTCGTGGAGATCCATGCCGGCCCCGTCAGCGGGCACGGCCGCGCTCTCCCCCCAGGAAAGGGCTCCTCATCCCGGCCTTGGCAGCGCCTCCGTGCCCAAGCCAGCCCCAGGCGTGCAAATCCACCCCGTCCTCACAGGGCGCTCGCTGCATTCAGCTGAGTTTTATCCTTCTGCTAGGTTGGGCATAGCCATCTGGCAAGCAATTTCTTCACCATGTTCTCGCTGTTGCTGTTTACATGGCACGAGGTTAAGTTCCTGTAAATTTATAACCGGGGCTGGACTTAAACAGACCGTTCCTTCAACAAACATTGGCAGGACACGGCTCACAGGCTTCCAGAAAAAGGATCTTCATCCCCCTCAGAATTACATCAAGAATTTTCAATCATTTAAATAAAAAAAAAAGTCAGCTGACCGCAACTACACCAGGATATCCTTAATCTTCTGGGACACAAAAGGATTACTAGCCATAATCTATTCTATATACCATCTGGGTAGGACTTTTTCCTCTGATTAATGGAAAATTCTGGGTGTGCAGCTCTTCTGTTTCTCCAGCTGCTTCTACCGGTGAAACAGTCCCAAGCCAGAATCCAGCCTCCCCAGCCAAGTATCACCCCCTAACGCTCCCCCAGGAATATGACAAAGCAGCACTCCCCTCTGAAGGGTACCCTGGAAGTATGACCAGTAGTTTTGTGGTGGTGGTGGTTTTATAGGTTTTTGTTTTTTAAAGAAAAAGTGCATGATGGTAAAGGTGCCCAGGACTCCGAACATACTGGGGTATGAGGTTTTTTAAGTAAAAGGTTATTAAGCACTCCTGCATCTTCGTCAGGAACCAGTAACACCAGAATGCACGTTCCCCGTGAAATGTATCTATCTATGCATTGGCACATATATTGTGGAGAGAGATCAAGTTACATGACAAATCCACAGCATGAAGTCAGATGCAAGATTTAGCCCAACAGAGAGCGTGGGAAACTGAAATGCTTCTTACCTAAAGAAAGCACTCAGCCTGCTTTTGCAGAGCTTCTCTACATTTTTTTTTTCTTCCAAGACATCAGCTCTTTTCATTGAAAGAAGAGGCAAGTTTACTAACAAGGTAGATCACCATTACCACGAAGCGATGATTTCCTGAACTAAACTCTGCCAGCTCCACACCTCTGCCTGGGTTCTTCAGCTGTGTCCCACACGCAGAAGTGCGACCCAACGGGAGCTCTTCTCCTCCTCCAAACAGCCCTTTTTGCGGCGAAGACAGAGCTGTGGTAATCAGACGTTAAGCTGCCCCCCACACAAAGCCAAGCGGAGCCTGGGCACTGTGTTCCTTAGGGGTGCTGGAAGGAACTGTTCTCTTTCCGAAGTTTTAAATTCCCATGTCCACTGGAGGCTAACAAAGGAACAGCTCCTCCAGACTGCAAAGCTACATCGGCCTCTGGTGCAGACAGCCGGCAGGTTCACAAAAACAAGGAGATGCAAGAAACTTGAAACATCGTTCTCTGCTTTATTCCAAACACACTCGAAGAGAAAAAGAAAATAGAAACACAACATTCTTCTGCCTTTCTGGCTTGCAGACATAAAATCTGCTCGCGTGATGAGGATCAGAGCTCTGGTCACCTCGTCCACTTACACCATCCAGAAACAGGAGAACGTTAAACACAGCCGAAGTAACGTACTGCCAGTGCTCCCCATCATCAAAACGTGCTAATACGAATAGCTACCGACTCTGCTTTGCAGCTTCCCCTCCTGTGACTCAAGAGGCATGGACAAGATGGCGAGTTATCAGACGTGCCATACTAGAAAAGCTAAATATTTTCTACCACCACTTCCCTGACACAGAAGAAGAGACCAAAGTAGGCCCAAGTCTCATCCGAGAAGCTCAGTCTCCCACCTCAGACTTCTCACAACCCTGGAGGGTCACTGAAGGTAACAGTGCCCAATATTGGTACATTCCAACAATCAGAAATAGCTGCTAAAGGGAACACCTTCGGAAGATTCATTCATGCCTACCAGTGATCAGGAATATCCCACCCCAGCCAAGGGCATTTCCTGGACTCAGGATTTACACGCCAGTTACTTACAGAAAGCTTTCTGTGTTCTGTTTTGCTAGTGTCTTCTGTTCCTAGAATCCAGTACTCTTCCTTGCTTTTAGGTCCCTAGAGACATTTAGGCTGCCAGCCTAAGAGCAAACATGTTGCTTATGGGTCAAACGGACATGTGTACAGGCCTGATCTTCTAACACATCTTTCATGAAGTCTAAGACAGATAGGAAGAAAATTCAAGTTTAAAGGGAAGGTTTGCTGGGATACAAATCCCAGGAGCTTTCTCCTGTATTTCATAAAGACAGTCTGAATAAGATGGATCCTGTTAGCTACTTGCTTGGAACATTTTGGAGGAGGAAGGAACTTCTCCCCCAGGGAAGCTTCCAAATTTAAGTAATGGCCCTCCTGAGGAAGCAAAGCAAGATTGCACTGCAGGAAGGAGAAGAAAAAAAAAGCATCCACAAGGACTCAAAAGCAAGGTTTTGTTCTGCAGCATGAAGCTTTTTGACGAGTTGATTTGTTCCCCACAGTGTGAATGCTGCCAGGCAATGGCAGGAATCAAGGTTTAAGCTTGGCAAACAACCCTACCACCAGGCCTTTCTAAAGCAACGCCCTCCCATGACCAACGTATCCCAGTGAGCAGCCTTCGTCTCTCCCCACCCTTCACAGTAATTCAGAGCACACAGGAAGGGCTCGATACAAAACTGAAGCTGTTAAACCATTCCCCATTACACGTACCTTGCTTTTCTCCTGCAACGCCTGAATTTTAGAGCTCAAGTTTAAGCTTAGATTTCTATTATTTAACTTAATTATCCTAAATAATTGAGCAACTTTGGTCTTTGTCGGGTATAGGAAGCCCACTCCCTGCATCTGCAACCCAGATTACTACAGGTAGCAGCAGCAAACCAGTACCTCAAGAGACTGTAAAGCCTAAGACCGGGACTTACCTGCTCCAGAGACAAGTAGCAGTGGGCTTTTGCTCCCTATGTGGTAGAGTAAAACTGAAGATTGTGCTGTATAAACCTCTGCCACTTAGTACTCATTTGTCCTTAGCAGGTCAGGATAACCAAGAGCTCATCACTTAGTCACCTAGGCCATTTTAGAAGCTGGCGTTTGAAAGATTGGCATGAAGGTGGATTCCTTCTGTCAAGGATGATTGAGCCAATTACTGACAAGTTCAACTGAATGTCACCAAG